TCTAACTTCTTGAAAGTATAATTGTTGTAAAGGTGTTTCGGTTTATAGGTTTTGGATTCCACATCTGGTTTGGATTGCTTAACATTTTTAGCATCTCTCTTCTTTCATTCAGATCCCAAGAATCTCTGCTATAGTTTTTGGCAATGCTGCATCCTAGACCTATTAAATTCACCTTACCAAAGATATCTGCTCTGAGAGCTAGAAATTTTCTAATCTAACTGTAGCGTTATTTGTATTTTATCTTTTGTTTCTTGATAATTCATTGAACTCCATTCAACGTGAATCAAATTGGAAGTTGCTGTCAAACTGATAAAGGCCGTGAGGACGTAAAGGGCCTGCAGTTACTTCAGTGAGAGAGACTTGCCCCTCCACAGTTGCCAAAGGAGGTCCAGGTTACTTAGATAGTCCTCAGGCAGACATAGAGCAGAATATAATATAATGCAGGTAAACTGTGGCTGTGAACATGAGGATTTTGAAGCATAAATTTCTTTGGGACTCTTTATTCTATAAAGGAAATTAACAATTGCCGAATTTATCATACTTTTGATCTCAAATTATTTTTGTTTTAATATGCAAGCACCTTTAATTTTCAGGGCTTTAACTTCTACCTGAGAATGTTTAAATGGTAGATGGCCTATATGGTATTACAGTGTTTGAGGGGTTTCATTATTGAAACATACTTATCGATTGTACTAATAGACGTGCAAATCCCAAACCATACTCATTGCCGTCCAGCAGTTGTTAACTCATCGGAACCTCACAGGGTGGAACAGAACTTCTCCTGTGGGTTTCCAGGGCTATACGTCTTTACAGAAGTAGAAAACCTCATATTTTTACCCTCAGAGCAGCTGGTGGTTTTAAACTGCTAGCCTTACAGTTAGCAGCCCCAACACATAACCATAATGCCAATAGGTACTCAGTGAGTCATTTAATTTCATTGCAAAATCTGAGAGTCAGGATTGGACAACCTGACTGGACATAAAAAGCATGAACATGTATTTAACAGCCGTCCGGATAGAATGGTCTTGGAGATTGTTTGATTAGTGTGCAAGGGCACCTACCACTCGGGTTCCAGGTAATACTGGTGTACATTTGTTTCAAACAAAATATCTTTTAAAATATCTCTGCAATCAGTGGACAACTGCAGACCTGTTCTCTGAGTAACACATTTCTCTTTGTCTCCTAGGAGAGCCTTTAAAAACTAAACAAAAAAGGATACTCTTGTGCCATAACAAAAAGATTTTTCAGTCAAGGAGGATGTAAGGTTTTTAACAAAACTCAAATGGACATCTTTTCAAATAAGTGAAGCTGCGCAGTAAGTGTATGGTAATGGTGACCCACAGAAAACAGCAGCGTTCAGAGGGATCAAGCATTTGATGGAATGTTGGCAAGATCTCAAAGAGGAGCCAAGACAGGGAAGCCCATCAACCTCAGTTAATGAAGACACGGGGGCTGACACCCATTATCTGGTGGAAGAAGACCACAGAATTACCAACGATGGGATGGCTATGGAATTGGGGTCTCACTTGGTTTGACATTTGCAATCTTAAACCTACGTCTTTGCCTCAGCAAGCCTTTCGTTCCATATGTTCCAAAAACATTTGTATGAAGTCTTTGACACATGATCAAAGCTAATTAAAGTTATTGTATAGAATAAATCAGAATCAAAGACTAGTTTTGAATTGACCATGAAATCTAGAGAACAAGGTCCAATAAAAACTTTGGCTTTCACTGTACCTTCTCTGCCCTGCCCCCATCCCTGCCCAGAACCCTTATTCCACTTGTTTGTTTTCTGTATAGGTTCATATCTCCTGGGTTTCATATACTGAAACTAAGAGAAACATGATACAACTTCAAAAGGGTGACCTCCAATGACATAACACATCTGAGATACGCCCTAAAATGAACAAGCCAAAACAAAACAGAATGTCCATCACAGGGTGGCCGGAATAATACGTATCTTAACACAGCACATAGGGCATTGATGTAGCAAGACCATGTTTGAGCAAGACCTCCCACCAACAGTTCAACCATCTTGGTACAACTGGCTTCTGCGTCCTCAGACCCAGGTGTTTTCCGACTTAAATCCTCAGGTTACAAGTGTGCACGAGGCAGAGTCCGGTTCAGTGGTACAGTGGGTGGAGGGAGGGAGTAAAGGGAGACAATGTCAAGGAGTCCAGAAAGCAAAAGAATGTTTGGAAACTTATTGTGGTAGCAATTGTACAAGTCTGCTTGATGTGATTGAACTATGGATTGGTAAAATATATGTATTAACTCACAATTAACAGTAGTTTTTTTAAAACTGAAAAGAAAGTGTATCTTCTCGACAAGTTAAGTTCAAGGCAGTTCAGAGGTATGGTGACTGTTTTATGGAATTCCAAAGGGTCATCTAGATTGATTTTCTCTAAGGACACAAGATGATCACAGGAGATTATAAGGAAAAGGTTTAAGAAAATTGAAAATCACATGGGTTATAAAAAGGACAGGAAATATGGGCCAAACACATAGATCTTATCCTGTCTGGCAAATTTTGTTCCCCAAACTCAAAGAACCCTAAAATGAACCCAATGTAAGTGTCTCTCAGATGTCAAAACTGCATTGCTGGGAGTTCTTCAGGGGAGGGTGTGAGAGACGGAAACCCCCCTTCAGAATGGGGCAGACCTAGACCGTGGATCTGTGGACAAATAGAAGCTTCACATTTTGAAATTTGTGTTTAATGAAGGAGTTTGCTATTTTGTAGCAACACTCTTTAAAATGTTATGCATTTCACAATCCTCTATGAGAGGAAAAAGGATCCCTGGTGATGTGGTGGATTGTATGGTGGACTGCAAGACCAGTCATCGGAGCCCATCGGCCACTCTGAGAGAGAAGGATGTGTTTTTCTGCTCTGTAAATATTGCAGCCTCAAAACCGCAAAGGTGGCCATTCTACTCTGTCCTATAGGGGCACTGTGAGTTACAACTGAGTCGACGGAAGTTTTTTGTTTGTTTGTTTGTTTGTTTGTTGGGGGGGGAGGAAAAATGTTCCACCAATGTTCCTAAGAAGATCCACGGCAAAGGAGTAATTGGAATTGTGGAGATTACCTCATGAGCAGCTGCCCTAGCAGATAGATGATCAGATTTTGGTCCAAACATCTATGTTCATGTTTAAAAAAAAAAAAGGATATGTAAGATGGAATTAACAATATAAAGATCTGGGAACTGGTGTGCAGGAACGATCATTTCTCACTCCTTACGTTGAATGGGGAGTACATGGAAGTCTTGCTCACACTCTGTCCTTCACTCACTCTTCTCATGTGATAAGATTGTCTAGGTTTGGAGAACTGTAAAGGAGATTGCTGAATGAAAACTGCATAGCTCTATTTTCTTTTGTGTTGTTAACTCCCTGAGGGAAGTAGGTCATTTTCTTTCCTCCCTTTGGGTGATAGATTTTGTTCGAGGGAGTTCCCACAAGGGAAAATTGGAAGTGGTCTCAAGCTGCTTGTGAATGGGTGTGGAATCCATCAGTGTCTGATGTCCAGGGTTAGACCATCCACTGGCCAGATGCGGGAGACCGGATTCTCTTCCCAGACAATGCTCTTTCCTCAAAAACAACATCCATTTGTCGGCGGAGCTCTGCATATTGCTATGAAGCTAAATAGGTTTCAGCAGAGTTTCCGGACTAAGACAAGCTAGGAAGAAAGACCTGGTGATCTCATTCTGAAGATCCAACAGTGAAAACCCAACAGATCACAAGGATTCAATCTGCGACACATCCCGGGGTGGTGGCAAAGCAAACAGCCTTTCTTGGTCACCACGAGTCAGGGCCAAGTCAACAGCAGCTAATACGAGCTCCAATGTTCACGTTACCTCATCAATCTGTCCTCTGACTTTCTCTCGCATTGTATTTCTAAAAATGCCTGAATTCGGGTGAGGAAAAGGGTATAATTGACTGGTTCCTGCCTCAAGCTGTTTCTCTATAATAAAGGTTTCTTCTTCTTGAAAGTCTGGGCTCAAAGGAGAAGCCAGGGTGATGCGTCACTTCTCAGAGCATCTCACTGAGCTCAGTGGAAAACAAAAATTACCCCCATATGACTGTCACAACCTAAAAATATATTTTAACTAGGAAGTATAAATGTTCTCAATTTGAAGACATGCATAACTCTTTAAAAATACACTAAGTGACTGATTAAAATGATGTGGGAACTATTTCAGCAATGCTTGAAGCATCTTCCATTGTGATTTTAGTTATGGGACTGTTTATAGTTCATTAAACTTCCTATGCAAGTTGAGGCGCTGAATTCTATTCTATTCTATCCCGGAGTGATTGTATTGCACATTCCCAGCATGTTAACATCGCCACTATAACACCATGGACTTTTACAATCGTGCCATTCTCATGATGCGTGAGTACCATTTAGCAACCACCTCTGACATATCTGAGTGGAGCGAGCCGCATGCAGATGTCTTTCCTAGGAACCGGACTCGGTCACTCAAGGACAGGTAACTTGGTTTATCTCTGTACATGAAGACGCCCTGGAGCTCTTTGCTCCACAGTGAAACAAACCAGTATTCTAATCACACTAGCATCTCTACTGGGGGAAGGCTAGGGGAAGTACATAACCATCTTCTAGTATTTTTAAGAAGTTTGTGTAGAACCCTTGCCCTCAGATGTTCTAGAAAGTAAAGATTAATAGGTGAAAATCACAAGCTGAAATGGTGTAGTTAAATGAAAAAAGCACTTTCTACCAATTGTGGCTCTCTTGTCATGAAATAAGCTGCCTTCAGCAATTGTAAATTGACGTGGGTCATCTCTTCATGATGTGGTCAAAGAATTTCTTCCCATTCGGCTTCCAAGCCTGATCAGGTCGGCATGAATGCTGAGAACCACTGATAACATGAACGTTTTTCACATAAGCAAAACACAAGAAAATCCAGATTCCATTTTTTTTGGAGAGAAAAATTTAATATATTTTATCTTATTATACATCCTTCCTAAATTACAAAGTCAATAGCTGCAAATATATTCTGCTACAAAGCTTTCTGTAAGAAATATCTCTATAAGAAAATACATCTCATTAGCATTTCCTGTAAATAAATTACTTCAAATAATAATTTTGAAGGAGTGAACAAACATAAGGAAAATAGTGCAGAGAAGATTATAAAGATCATTGCAGTATAGGAAATGTTTGATTGAAATGGCCTGTGTTTGTGTCTCTTCAGTTTAGAGAAACCTGTTTGTATAAAGTTGAGCTTGGGGGAAGATCAGCTTACTTTTTTCTTTTTTTTTTAAGTAGACATGTGTTGGAAACACAATTTTAATCATCCTAGTAAATGTGTGTGGGGAACTGAAATTCTTCATATATATTCAGACTCAGTTTCAATTTCTATTATGAGAACTGGAACTTTGCATAGCAGATAAAATTAAGGAAGAGAATTAACAAGTGAATTCTGGTCTATCAAAATAAACAAATAAACATAGGGTCGAAAAGAACAACTACAAGATAACCTTGTTGTCACTTATGCGCTAGACAAAATATTTAAAACTGAATAATGTAAAAAATCATAATAAAAATAGTTTCAAGGCACTGTGGTTTCTATAGATTAATGATATGCAGATGTTACAAATTATTTCATTTCTATTTTTGAATCTCAATGAAGGCGGAAGATAGAAATGGTATCTTTGGCAATAACATGGCTGTTGCTCAGAGAGTGGTGCAGGCCAAGAAGCTTCGGGCACACAATAGAATGTGTATGCACTACGTTAACCATGAAGTCCACTTCATGAGGCCTCTTCATGGTCAGATGATTTCAGTATGGCAAAGATGCAAAATAAATATTTTGAAGACAAAACTGGCAAGCAATCTCATATTGAGCTAAACCTGTATTGTAAATATTGTGACAGCAAATCTCATAGAAAACTTCCAACTGGATGATGTAGAATTTGATTGTGTTTCCTACCTAAAATCAACATTCTGTCAGACCTGATTCCAGGAAAAATGTTTGTTCTACTTTCTTGCAGGACAGATATGTCTCAAGTCTTTTTTATCAGTTTTACTGCTAAATCTGTAAGCTTAAATATATTTGCCAGTCTAGTTATATCAAAATGTTGGGAATACCAAAGCTTAAAAAACAAACAAGAGCAAATTTATTAGCTTTTTTCCTACTCATATTTTGGAGATCTTGAAATTTGTATCCATCTGTGAAAATTCTGTGTCCATTCATGCATTGCAGTTCACAAGTAAGGGTTTACTTTGGTAACTAAAGTATACTCAGGGTAAGAATTGCATACCATCAAGAGAGAAGCAACATCGATTTTTTTGAAGTTGACTATCTTTGTCTAATTATTCCAGTTTTTATTGATTTTGAGATGCCCTGACAGTGTCGTGGGTTACAATTGGACTGCTAATGGCAAGGTTAGCAGTTCAGACTCAGCATCCACCCCAAGGGGTAAAATGAAACATTCTATTCCCATAAAGATTTCTAGTCTTGGAAACACATGGGGACAGTTCTACTCTGTCCTATAGGGTCTCCATGAGTCAAATCGGGTCTCTATGAGTCAATATCAGTGATGCTTTATTAATTAGAGATTTAAATGATTTTAATGTAAATAAACCATTTGAGGCAAAAACGTTTTTGTGGGCTCATATCTATATCTTCACATAGAGATATACAAACACATATATGTAAGATTTGCCATTATTTTGAAATTATTCAGAGAATATTGGAGAATAGAAACTGCTGTCTTTCCTCACTATGCCCCCCCCTTGCCTATCAAGGCCTTTCAACACAGTAGAAATAATATTCTAAATTAAAATGTGATTCTTCATTGCTAATGAACTCTGCTCTATGCTTTTATATGATGTTCACCACGTATTTTCTCACTTTAAAGCCTATAATATTCCAAGGTATACTGCAAAAATATTTTGTTAAAACTATAACTTTGAATAGAAATATGGCTTTTAGGTTACTTTCATAGGCAATCAGCGGCCTGAAGGAAATCTATCTTTCAGCACCACCTAAGTGACTGGAAAGTCACACGGTTGTCCTCAGGAATCCCACTGTGTGCTGGGGGAAAAAAAGCATTTCCACAAATGTGTACATTATTTACATCAACAAGTTGCATAATGGAAACACACTGCATTTGTCATCCATTCTCAATCACTCGGTTCTCTCTTTCTGTAACCTGTCTTCTTCCCACAGGCCTAAGCCTGCACATTTGATGAGTTCCGGCCCTTATTTTGCACCCTGCTATCATGCATTCCACACACAAATCCACAGTCGGCTGGCTGCGCCCCCGCGGGGGATCAGATTTTCTGACACACGTGCAGCCTGGCTTTGGAAGCGTAGGTGGCGTCTTTCCACACTTTGCAGGCGAGGCCCTTCGCACAGTCGCACCGCTGGAAAATCTCCAGGCCATGCGAGCCCTTCTTGCGCTGTTTGGTACAGACTTCCCCCTGATGGAGAACTGGCTTGCAGATCTTGGTCCAGAAGTGACGGGCACAGCAAAACCCTTCGATGCAGTCTGTAGATCGCAGACAGGGGTCTCCCTCATGCCCTAGAGAGAAGGTGCCAAGAGGTATGAACACGCCATTCTAGAAAGAATTCAATTTTACCACCAGAAGCACTTAAAATAGCTCTTAACATATATTCCATGGCTTTACCGTTTGTTATGGAAATGTCTTTGATTTATAATGGCTGATCTTCCTTGGGGCTAGGTCACGGGTCATTTGAAGCCTTGAAATGATCAATGCCAGCTAACATTGGACACTTCACCAGGGGCAGCAGTTCCAGCCATCACGTTAAAATAAACCCAACCAAACTCACAGCCATGGAGTCAATCCTCACTCATAGAGACACCCTGTGGACTTCCAAGACGGTGGCTATTGACACGAGTAGAAAGCTCAGTCTTTCTCCAACAGAGCTGCTGGTGGTTTCAAACTGCCGACCATGTGGATTGCAGGCCACGTGTAACACTGCACCACCAGAGCTCCTGGCAATCTCATGAAGGGTGACTTCATTAAATGCTTAAGCAAATACTGTAGGCTCATTATTAAGCTGATAATTTTGTAGGACCCTCAAATAATGTTATAAATATACAAATGGCCGTTGGCAGATAAAAAGATTTCATATCCCTGCTCTAATCCATTACATTTACTACTGGATTTATTTCCATCCTTTGGGCTGGACTCTAACATTTAACGAAGAGCTAGTACTATGGTTTCAATTTTTGCTTCATTTAGTCCTGGTCTATCTTTGAGATCAGGAAATCTGGGGGTGCTGCTGGGTAAGGCTGGGAATTTTAGATCAGGAGATCTGGGGGTGCTGCTGGGTAAGGCTGGGACTTTTACATCAGGAGATCTGGGGGTGCTGCTGGGTAAGGCTGGGACTTTTAGGTCAGGAGATCTGGGCTGCTGCTGGGTAAGGCTGGGAGCAGGAGGAAGAGGTGACTATCTGCTCCCTGTAACGATATGCAGCCTGTGCCACTGCTGGGTCATTATCCGTCCAAATCAACTCAACGGTGGCAGGGGGGGCCTTTCGTACATTCTCCTAAGCATTACTTCTTCCTACCAGGTGAGTGAAGCAGAAATAAAAACAATTGCTTTCAAATTAATTCATTCGATACCTTCTTGGATGGTCTAAGAAAAGCTCTGATTCAAGGACAAGGATGAAATTATCAGGGAGTCCTAAGACAACTATGTACCAGTAGGAATCCCTGGGGGGTACAGATGGTTATAACTTTAGCTTCCAAAGGAAAAGCTGGAGTTTCCAGTCCACCCAGAGGCACAGCAGAAGAAAGATTTGGAGATCTGCTCTGTAACAGCCACAGAAAATGCTGGTGAGCAGAATTCTACACTGCCACACATTTGGTTATTCATAGTCAGAATTGACTCAAAGCACTGCTTCAGCATCATAATAAAACATCAGCACAAAACAAGCAGCAGCAATGATTGTGCTCATAGGTCATAAGTTGGTCTGCAAGGTTACCTGTTGAGATAGTTAAGGTTTATTGTGCCAACCTGGCCGATAAACACATGTGAGATTAATTAAAGGGTGGAGAGATAAATGGCTCAGTGAGCCTGGCCTTCCTAGTTCTCAGAGCTCTTATTTTCTGATGGTCAGAACAGGATGCAGCTGCCTTAGCCAGTTCCCTGCTTCAGCTGGCAAGGCTCACTTCCTGCAAGACCTACCCAAGGAGAAGCCACATGAACCTACCCCAATGCAGCCCTGGGTGCTGGAGCAGCCATAAAGAAACCCCTGCCAGCGCTGAGATGCTTACACGCTCACTGATTGGGCTTTCCTCCTGCAGTCAGCATCATTGCATGTCTTTTGTGAGATGGAGGAGGACTTTGTAGATTGGTGTCGGACATATGGGCTAATGTTGGGCTTACGGGCTTGGACAACACTGGGTTGGGATGCTTTCTTGATGTGCACTTACTGTTTATATAAAACTCTCTCTTATATACATATGAGTTTCTGTGGATTTGTTTCTCTGCTCTCCCCAGACTAACACACCTGTTAACCTAGATATAAATAACCACATTGTATTTTCTGGACTTAGCTCACTTGCCATTCTATGTAAGAATTTTTATCCCGTTTGTCATCATAAAATTACACGTAAAAATGAATAAATTGGAATTAGTAAGTTTGGAACTGTACTGTGACATGGATATCAGTTAGAATAAAGACATATACTACTATAATAATAAACACATATGAAATTGGTGGGATTCAAGTGGGAAAGTTGAGGGGAAAGAACTTAGAATTTCAAGGAGGATCATTGAATAGGAATTATTTGTCAAATTCTAATGAGCACTATTCACCTGATGGTGACCAGAATCTAGTCTAGACCAGAATAATACGTCAGCTATTTATGGAAACTTGTTCTGCATGACATGCCAATGTGTATGGGAATGATACTGTGTTCAAATAAGTGGGAGAGATCTTTTTTTGTTTGATGCTGAACTTCTCAGTGCCTTTCATATACCGAGGATGATGATACATTTCCAAAATGGAGAGGTGTATTGTGATAAAATTTGCAGGACACTTTCGTTCACAGAACCATTCTACGTAAGAAATGTTTTTCCTGTGTGTCATCATAAAATTGCACATAAAGAGCAGTGCTCTACAGAATACACATGGAAGAGACTTCCTTTAAAGAGAGGCCCAGTCTGGAAGCCAAATAATGTCGTGGTTTTAATATTTTTATACCAGGAAAGGAATTGTGTGGCCACATATAATTGCACTAGAAACCAATTATTTGGTGGATGGTATGATCTGTTTGTTTGATAAAGTAAAATTTCTGAATCTGTAAAGAAGAGAACTAATGGGAGGGGAAAAGAGGAGCTGGTACCAAGGGTTCAGTAGAAAGTAAATGTCTAGAAAGTAATGATGGCAACATGAGTAGAACTATGCTTGATACAATTGATGTCTGAATTGTTATAAGAGTTGTAAGCGCTCCCAATAAAATGATCTTTTCATAAAATAAAAAAGAAGAGAAATGGCCTAAATAATGAAGTGATCCAACCATATGACAGCACTTCCCACCTCAATTTTCACAATGTTTCATGGGTGATTATGTGAGAGCCATGCTAGTGTATCCACGCAAGCAAATTGTATTGTCTTTAAGAGTGCTTCAATTCTCCTGAGTTACATTTCCTCATAATCTAAGACCTTTAAGAAACCCCTGACAGGAGGAAAGTCAAGGGAAATAGAGGAAAGAGCTGGGAGGCAAAGGGCATTTATAGAAGTCTAGATAAAGACATGTACATATGCAAATATATTTATATATGAGGATGGGGAAATAGCTCTATGTGCATATATTTATAGGTTAAGTATTAAGGTAGCAGAAGGACATTGGGCCTCCACTCAAGTACTCCCTCAATGCAAGAATACTTTCTTCTATTAAATTGGCATTCTATGATGCTCACCTTCCCGACACAACCGCTGAAGACAAAGCTGTTGAATAAGCAAATGTGGCAAAGAAAGCTGATGGTGCCTGGCTATCAAAAGATATAGCATCTGGGGTCTTAAAAGCTTGAAGGTAAACAAGCGGCCATCTAGCTCAAAAGCAACAAAGCCCACATGGAAGAAGCACACTAGCCTGTGTGATCATGAGGAGCCTAAGGGATCAGTTATCAGGCATCAAAGAACAAAAAATCACACCATTGTGTGCTCACCTCCATGATACAATTTATGAAGACAAATGGGTGCATAGGCAAATATGGCGAAGAAAGCTGATGGTGCCCAGCTATCAAAAGATATAGTGTCTGGGGTCTTAAAGGCTTGAAGGTAAATAAGCAGCCATCTAGCTCAGAAGCAACAAAGCCCACATGGAAGAAGCACACCAGCCTGTGCAATCACAAGGTGTCGAAGGGATCAGGTATCAGGCATCATCAGAACTTACCATAGTGAATGAGGGGGGGAGTGCGGAGTGAAGACCCAAACCCCATTTGTATGCCACTGGAGATCCCCTTGCAGAGGGGTTTCGGGGAGGAGACAAGGCAGCCAGGGTGCGATGTATCAACGATGAAAAATACAACTTTCCTCTAATTCCTAAATGCTTCCTCCCTGCCCCCACTGTCATGATCCGAATTCTACCTTGCAAGTCTGGCTAGACCAGAGGATATGCACTGATACAGATGGGAGCTGGAGACACAAGAATCTGGGGTGGATGATCCCTTTGGGACCAGTGGTGTGAGTGGCAATACTGGGAGCATGGAGGGGGAGTGGGTTGGAAAAGGGGAACCAATTATAGGGATCTGTATGTGACCTCCTCCCTGGGTGACAGACATCAGAGGAGTGGGTGAGGGGAGACGTCAGACAGGGAAAGATATGACAAAATAATAATTTATAAATTATCAAGGGTTCATGAAGGAGGGATGAGAGGGGAAGGAGAGGAAAAATGAGGAGCTGATGCCAGGGCCTTAAGTGGAGAGCAGATGTTTTGGGAATGATGAGAGCAATGAATGTGCAAATGTTTACAAAGTTGATGTATGTATGGATTAAAAAAATGTATGCATGTACGATTAAAAAAAAGGAACCCCTAGCATTCTCAAAAATAAGTCAAATAGTAAATTTACCTAAAATCATTAATAAACTCATCTAAAATCTTGCCATTGAAGCACCTTCTTTGTGATTTTATTTCTAAAATCAGTGGGGTGAATTCTGTAGATACATGTCTTTTATTAAAACAAGGAAAAACATAAGCCTTAGAGCTACAGATAGGCCTACCTTTGATGTGTGACATCTTGGAATGTGGTCTTCCGAGATTCTGCCATCCCAAGTCATGGTTTGAGTAGTGACCTTGGTTTCTATCTCGGTGTCGAGTGCCATCCAGAGCGGGTATGTGCGCAGTTAAGATGCTCTCAGTCACTGGGATGCAGATGCCTGGAGGTAATCACAGAACCAGTTAGAAGAATTACATTCTATGAAGTCTGGGATCTATTCAAGTAGTGCGCTGCTGGGAGGCATGAAGTCATTTATTTATTCTCTCATTTGCTCATCCAGTCATTTGTTGGTGCCTCTACTCCTTTATTGATTTGTTGGGATTGAGTACAACGTAGCTTAACTTTGGAAGCAGCTTGTTTGATGTGGACCTTGACTCTGCCTAGACCAAGTGCCCTTGGATAAAAAAAGAGGAATGAAAACAAAACCACGTTTCCTGGGTTACTGGAAACATATCAGCAGTACTAAGACATGGGGGGGCGGGAATACTACATTAATTGTAAAACAACAAAAACCCTATGGAATACGCAATTCTACTCGAGCACACATAGGGTCACCGTGAATCCGAACAGACTCGATGACCATTGTTTTTGTTCATTCTTCTTTATAAATGATCGGATCAGACCAGAGATTTAGCCTCAGGATCCACACTCTCCTGATCAGTGAGCCTTGCAATACTAGTTGCGACTGTAAACGTCTCTAATGTGAAATCCTTGTTCATCTACTTCACGTCAAAGGAATTTCCAGTAAGACTAAGCACGGGGCAAAGAACACACGTGAAAAAATATGAGCTTGCTTATTTCATCTCGTGTAACTGAGTATATATTTCTGACTTTTTCTGCGATGAGGTAATGCTTTTATCATATTTTGTCTGTCGCCTTTCCTTGTGTTTGCTACTGCCTGCTTGTAAATCCTTTGTGTTTGAGGGAGGCTATGCTTATGTATAGACTGTGCAACAGCAAATCAGTCCCTTTTTCGGAAGGATCCATTACCACATAACTGCGAGAGTGTGAATTTAATGGCTAAGTGAAACTCAAAGAGCCACTCACAGCTGCCTTCCCAAATTGCCACATAGTCTTTCTTTAGTTCCTTTGCATGTTTGTTTGTTTGTTTTTAATGTATTTAATGGAATAAATGTGTTTAATAGATTCAATGTGTTTTACATCAAAATATATTTTAATATATTTAACAGAATAAAAAATGCTTATCTCTATGTAGGCAACACTTCAACAATGGTAGCACTGTGTTTTCGCTGTTGTTATGTGCCATTGAGTTGATTATGATTCACAATGACCCCATCTAGCAGAGTAGATTTGTGCCCATTGGTCTTCCTCTGCTGTACTCTTTATAGGAGCAGATTTCTCCTTTAGAATGGCTGTGGTTCTAACTGCCCATCTTTCAGTTAGCAGCCAAGCACTGAACCACTAAACCACCAAAACCATAAAATATAAAGGGGACCAAAGCTCAGGGGAGGTAATCCAGGCGAATTTACATGTGCCCAAACCATCATCTAACTCAGCTAGTCATAAAAGCCTTCTTATGTTTCAGGTGTCTGTATTGCCTAATGTGCAATACAGAGCTACATGAAAATGTAGATGTCTCTCTTCCCATGCAGGCGATCTGGGCTAGATTTTCAGTCAATGCTTCTCATGCACAATCACAACACAATGATCTGAGGAGAGTTGCCTGCTTCTATGATGCCAAGCAAATTTCAGCAAAACTTCTGGACTAAAGCAATCTAGGGAGGCCCAGATAACTATTTCCAAAACCCAGCCAAGGAAAACCCTGCAGTTCCCATGGTACGATCGCACATGGTGCATGGCATTGCTATGCGTTGAGACCAACTCCGTAGCAGCTAAAAATAATAACCTGAAAAGAAAGAGGTCCAACAATATATAGGGAGATCTTTTACCATTATTGCAACGGGTACCAGGGCAACACATGCCATCTCTATGGCAGCGCTTCTTTTTCCTCCTACACACCATGCAGGCTGACGATCCCTGGTGAGGACTGTGGCAATACCGCCCGACTTCACATTCCTTATCACTGCTGCAAGGGTAGGCCTGTAATACAATGGAACAATGGTAACACGCATGAAAAATTACTATAGAAAATACATGAAACATCTAACCTATTACCGCCCTCTGGAAGCACAATATGCTAGTATATCCTATAGAGTTCTTACATAGGGAATGCTACCTTTAGATTAAAATCTTGTATGTTTTGATTGTTGATGGTGACAGATATCAAGAAAAGATTGTCACTATTCATATATTTTCATCGACACAACATTGAAGTTAGGATGTTGTATTTGTGTTGATTGTAGAACCTTTGCAAGTGGCGTTGGGGACTCAGAATCCAATTTGATGATTGTATTGCTAATGATTTAAGTGCAAACACAACAGTGATCCTACCCACTACTTTTATCTGCCAAATGAGGATGAGGGAAAGGTAAAACAAAATAGTGGGTAGGTTTGATCATTTAAACCTACCCAGCAACTCCCCTGGAGGAAAACTTAGCTTACTTAAAGAAGATAGCTGGGCACATCCTGTAGGTTAAGTGTTACTCTGTCATGCGGAGTCCCTGGGAGTGGGAATTGATTCAGTAGTAGCCAACAACAAGAAGTCCATGCAAGCATGTTTCAGCGTGACTTCTCAAAATTGCTGCTTACGAAAGAGAAGGACTACTTTCAGGATGGTTTAAGTCAATGACATGTTTGGCACAAAGGAACCTTCATTCCAAACATGATAACAAGCAGGCGTAGGCATCTGAGTGGCTGGGAAGATATTCATCTCAGTTGTAAAGTACGTTCTCAGAAAGCAGAAAAGAGAACAAACAGACAGAGAAATCACACCCCTAGAAGCTCCTGCAAGAACATGGGTAGTCCAGTGGGCAGAATGGGAGTTGGGCTTAATTCTCCAGCCAGGCACTTCCCATGCAGCCACCACCTCGGATGGAAGGCTGTGTGTTACTGTGATGTTGGATACTTTTCTAGGTGCTGAGCTACTTTCAGAATAGACCGGGAGAACGTTCTGCGAGGATCTGGTCTGCAATTTCCGCGGAGCTGGTACCTGGCCAACACTGTGCATTGATCTCCTGCATTGTACTGTCCGAGGACAACTCCAACATTGTCACGCATATACCTTGCTTCTGGGAAATTATTGGAACATTGAAAATGTCCTTGTTCTTAGAGACTAAGAGTTCAGAAATCACAGTGTCACACCAAACATTTAATGTACACAGAGGTTGGGGTACTCTGAATGCAAAAGGGGCCCTGGTGGTAGAGTGGCAATGCTTTGGGTTGTGATCAACAAGGTCTGTAGTTCTAAAGCACCAGCTGCTCTGGGGGAGAAAGGCGGGGCTATCTACTTCCATTAACAGTTACAGTCTTGGAATCTTGCAGAGACAGTTCTACCCTGCCCTGTAGGGTGGCTATGAGTCAGCATCGATTCAATGGCAGCAAATTTGGTTTGTGTTTTTGGAAACAAGACATCTTTGCAAGATTTTTTCCCCTTGCTGACTTTTTTCGGTTGACTTCTTTTCTGATTTTCAGAGTAGTATTTTTTTTTAATTAAAAGATAAACACATAAGTACATTATCTGTCATCATTTTGAAGAGGTGCAAATGATGTGACTATAAAATCATGAGATATCATTTCTGTGATTCAAACAACATGTGTAATCTAACTTCCATATTTCTGAAATCAGAGTAGATGATTTCACTCTGGGCATGGTTATTCCTCTTCCCTTACCTCTTTCTGGCTCTCTCTCATTCAATTTCTTTTCTCCTCTTGTCTATTCACTGCATATTCAAGCACACTCAGACCGCATGTGCTTTTCATTTAGACCTGGGGGCCCTCAATTAAAAAGAAGAAATAAATATGATGTTGATGTATGAATCTGAAAACTTTAAATGTTGTTCTTTGTGGGTAAATTGTACTTTTAGCATCATTGTCGTTTACTACTTAACTCCCAAATAATTATGTTGCAAAACCACTAACTTCAAATTCTAAGTGCTTTGAGTGATTGCACATTGGCAATATTGGTTGTCTACGTTGTATGTGGAAGAAGCTAAAGTTATAAAATGAGAAGGTACAGTCTGCAACTCCAATAGCAGGTGTAAGAGAATCAGAATGAGGCTGAATTCGGGTATGAGGACATTTTTCAAGACTCCAGGATTGATGAAAACAAAACCAACACTACTACCCGCCTTACCACATGCTTTTCCCCCCAAGCATTTTATCCTCGTCAGAGTTAAACTCATTAATTTTAATTGAAATACAATTCACATGTTTCTGATTCATTTACATTTATTTAACCAAATTGTTTTGCAAGAAATATTTGATGTCTTACAAAGTATTACAAGTTCTTCAAAAATAGGACAAGTTCTTTGAATGGAAATAAACACGTGACACCTAAAACATCATGTGCTGTTTACAGCTCAAACAACAAATAGACAAGGGATTCTGGAGATGGACTAATTAATACTTGGCCCTATCCATAAAAGTAGGGTTTACTGGAGAAATCAAGTTGTTTGCTAAAAGTCGTAGCTTATTTCTGCAGACTCGTGTGGGAGGTGTCTCTGCCCCTTTTCAGTTGATGCAAGTGGAAACCATTGGATACTGAGGCATTACAAGGAGCAGTACGCCCAGGGACCCATTGAATAGGACTACAAATTCACACGATTCAGCTTTTGCTTTTGTTTGTTTTTGCTTTTTAAAGACCTCAATTGTTTTAAAACTGAAGTATCTACTGGTTCAAATATAATCTCCAATGTGAGGCATAGCATGCCGCTTCCAAAAGAGCACATCCTTTCAAAACCTATGGGCTGCAGTTCTACGCTGCCGCACCTGAGGTCACCTGAGTCAGATGTGCCTGGAGGGGAACTCAAAACAAGTTTTATGCTGCACTGTAATTTTTAATGAATTTAAACAAGAAATGGTAACCACTGAGAAAGAATGCATCTAAAAATGAAGAAAGAAAGAAAACAGTGGCAGTAGAAAGATACACTTGGATTTGGAGTGGCTACCTAGCACTGTTTTCTCTTGGCCGCTGACTTAAAGGCTAACGCTTTGCCCCACTCCCTGATAGTGCAGAAGAAAAGGCCTGTGGTCTGCTTCCAGTAAGAATACATCCCAGAGAATCCTCTGGGGGCTCTTCTACTCTGTCACACACTGGGGTCCCTATGGTTCAGAATCAACTGATGGCAACGAACAACTACAATGCTTGATATGCTGAACTGGGATGAGTCAGAATCCCAGAATATAAATACTAGCATGGATTCTTTGAAGATTCAAAAAATAAATTTATTCTCGAAATGCAGTGCTATATTAAAGAATTTCTTAATATAAGCCTATGGAACTCCTGGCTTTAATGTACAATCTTGATATATGAATAAATTCAGGAAGGGATTACATAAGTTGATTGCAAGCAGGTTTCAGAGAAAGTGAGTGCTATTTAGTTGCATGCTTTACCTTCAGAAACCAATACCCACCACTGCTTTACTCAGCAATAAAGCTTCTCTTAGCATACCACTAGCAAGAAAACATAAAATATGAGGCAATGTGGAGGTGAGCCATTAATAGCAATCATCGTGTTGACGTGATGTCAGCAATAATACCGAACATGTTGTTTTCAGGGAAGAGTTTTGTAAAAAGATATTTTCAATGGAGTTTGAGTATTCTGTAGTTTGCCCTTGAGACGATGGTTTCTACGTTAATTCCTTTAGTTTGCCTAACACTATCACGGCAGGGGAGGGAGGGAAGGAGGGAGAAAAAGAGAGAGAGGGAGATCAGAGTAGTCAAGAAGAACCTGGATGAAATATGAGTAATTGCTCTACCAGTAAGAAGAAGGCTCAGAGGACTGGTAGTCTCTAACCACAGTGCCATTCAGAAATGTGCACAGAAAAAATCTTTAGCTTTCCTGGGTCTCGGCAGTTTATGACGGTGTTCATCATCAGCAGAGTCTGAGTTCAGGTAATTTGCTCTAAGATTTCATTTAATAACAACAAAAGAAACAGGATACTATCCAGGTACTTCTTTAACAGGTGCATAAGCAGACGTTTATTTCTTTTACTTGCCATAACATTATTGATGGTGGGTATTTACAGCACTTTATTCTTTTAGATTGTAGGTAAACAGGGGAGGGGGGAAATATAGTTTCCAGTGAGTCCATTCCAATTCATGATGACGCCCTGTGTGTTGGAGTAGAATGTACTCCCATGTGATTTCCAATGGCTAATTCTTGGGAACTAGATAACATAGCCTAGTTTTCCCCGAGGCAGCTCTGGGTGAACTTCAATCACCAACCTTCTGGTAAACACTCATTTCTTTAAACAGGTGCTCCGCTCAGTCAAACTAGAGACTCCTTCCTTGCTTCCAGAGGGACAGGGAGAGTGTGTGTGAGCCTGGGAACCAATAAAAAGAACAAGGGGGGAACTTAATACACCTGTAGGCTACGAAACGGTGACATTATTCCATCAGAGATTACACTGCATGGCCATGCAGGGATGCTCAACTTCACTCAGCCTCAGGCACAATCTGGAGACAGATTCATCTGAGAACACCTAAGAATAGTTGAGAAGTCTTGGTCCAGCTGTAGTTAAAGTGCTCGACTGCTCACAAACAGGCCAGCAGTTTGAAGCACCATCTGCTTCGCAGGAGCGGGATGGGGCAGTCGGCTTCTGTACAGATCGACAGCCTTGGGAACCATGTGGAGCCCTTCTCCCCGGGCCTAGAGGGCCTCTGTGAATTGGAATCAAGTGGATGGCAGTGGATTTTTTGTTTCAGATTGAAGATGATTGTTCATAAATTACAGTTTCTGAGACCCGTCAATGGTCAGGCTGAAAAAAGCAAACAATGTGTCCCTTATTGGCCTAAAAATAGAGTGTTTTCCACAAATAGCAGCGCTCGATGTCACAGCAGCGTGACATGAACTGAAAAAGGAGTGAACACATTGAAGCAGCTTGACGAGAAAGTCGACCAGAAATGAGAACTTCCTGTGAGCATGAACGCCCCTGCAGACCCTTTCCTCTGAGCTCACTTAGAACCGTTATTTGAAAGCC